TGGAGTTTAATCGGAATCTTATCTGTTCTTTTCGATCTTTATTTTCTTTTGCGGTAGTTTGTTTATACGCTTATTCTTTATACGCTAGTTTACGCGAGAACCGAGGAAGATCTAGAAGAATCCAAAGAATCCAAGCTACAAGAAAGATTCGGAAGATACAAGCTCCCAGGGAAGACTCGAAGACCTCGACTTCGACAACAGAGCTCGAAGACCCAGAACTCGAAGATTAGGAAAGCGTTTGTCAGGCAAGCTCTACATCTCCTTGATCATGATTGAACCTATTATTTTCGCATCGCACCTATAGAGCCTGTTCTAGTAATATGCATTGCTTGTTATTTTACTGCTTGTGTAGCTATGACCTACTTGTTTGCTGGTAATGATGCCACTATATAGGCATAAATACCAGAATCCTTGATTACCCTTGTTTACCCCTCTCCTTGACAACCCTAGGACAGTTCCATCATTTCTATGATGGTACAATTTCCTTGCTAATAGAAATGCTTAGGACCCCTCGCAATGTTTCTACATTGCCACACCTCTCACACACTTGCTTTTGAAAATGTGTTAAATGAGTTTGGTGGTATGAGTAAATACTTGGGTATGGGAGTAGCACAACCGTGTTAGGTGATGATGATGGAGCTGAAGATGGGAATGGGTTGGACTGCGGGCAAGACCACTGATGAGGTGATGTGGATAGTGTGATAGCCCACCAGTGTGGGATATGGTGCTTGCCCGGCCACATAAGGACCGGTTCTCTTGACCGTAAACCTAATGATTTCCGTACAACCACGGAACCTGAATGGGCAGGACTTATCCTACCTTCTTGGGTACACTTGTAACACCATCGGAGGCTGGTAGTAGCAACGGAAGCTTAGGAGAAGACCCGGGAAACGTACCCGTGGTCTGGTCGCGGAACCCACTGTCGGTGCATGGGAAAGCCGCCTGTCCTTGTTTGTACATGGATCCTGCAACTCGTTGCGGGAGCACGAACGCACCTGTTAAAGGTGTGTTGTGCCGTAGTGTGACAATTCATTGTCACAGGCCCCTGAGTGTGATTCCGTGGTGGTTTTGCAAAGTGCTCTGAGAAGATGGACTAAGCGTTATGTCACTCTCCGTACAAGAGTGCATAGCCCGTGGGGAAAGCTGTACAACCTCTGCAGAGGATAACAATTCATCCGGATGGACGTTGCCACGGCATATGGCACATTATGGTTATGCGCTTTTGAGATTAGCCACCTCTCTCTATCCTTGACGTGTGAGTGGGTTGTAGACAACCCGTGTTTTGGAAGTGTTGGCATGGATGCCGGGTCGGTATGATCCTTGAGGTCAGAAGGCCCAATTAAAACTTGGGAACTGGCAGGAATGTATATACTCCCCCAGGGCCAACCAACTAAAATATTGACAATAAAATTTCCTGTTTTTATCTATAAATCCTTGACTGCTTTAGTGAACCCTGCATAAAAACGGATTTTTCTGCAAAGGAACCATACAGCCTTCTCCTTGCTAAGACCAAATAAGCATGTATATATACCCTTGTGTAGTGTAGGGCTTGCGGAGTACCTTATGTACTCACGCTCTTGCATTTGTGGTTTTAGTCAGAGAAGCCTTCGTAGGAAACGACGGCGACGGGTTTTCGTTCCTGCATCTCAAGTCTGCCTGTGGCTTGGGTCGTGTTTTCCGCTGTTTGTCTGCTCAGCCATTAGTTGGTCGGAAGGACTAGGATACTTCAAAATCCTTGTCGTACCGCCACTAAGGGCTTTATATCAGGTACTATACTATTTACCTATACGAAGTATGCTTTTAATTACCATATCTGTGTTCTTGTGCGTATCAGCTACTGATCCAGGGACTGATACATGATGCACAACATGCTCCAAAAATTGGGGTATGACACTTGGTGAATTCATAAGAGAATCAAACTTCTGATTTTGAATTATTTTATTATTTATTCTGAATTATAGTATTCAAAGGTTTATTTGACTTGGACTCTTTCGTTGATCTTGGCCGTTCAATCTTCATAAAATCCAACAGTTTACATTTTTGCTTTTTTCGATTAACATGGTAATTTTGTGGCGAACGTGGTGGCTTTTTTTTTTCTTTAAATACTAAGATAATAGATAATATTGAAGTTACTCAGAACTGACGTAGAATTGTCACCAACCAATTTTAGTTCAATAGCATGTTTCATAGAAAAATTGGGAGATAGCCCAAAAATTTGAAAAACGCAAGCGACGGAATACGCTGAAATATGTATAAAAAGAGTAGCTAGTGATCATCAGCTCGACGTTGATCCGCGCCGCCCGACGAGCTCGACGTTGATCCGCACCATCGGGACCAGCACGACGTCGATCCGCGCCGCCAGTGACCACCTCAACATCGATCCGTGCTGCCCGGACCCGCTTCGCGTCGATCCGCGCCGCTTGGACCAGCTTGACCTCGATCCGCGCCGCCAGGACATGCTCGTCCTCGATCCGAACCGCCCGGACCAATCGACGTCGATACGTGCCGCCGTCTTCGGCCCGCGTCGCCCCCGCCTTGATCCATGGCGCCGTAGTCGATCCGCGCCGCCGCCGCCTCAATCCGCGTCGCCTCGGCGCCCCCGCGAGATCTGGAGAAGGGAGACGAAGTCGACCTGCACCCACCGCGACCTGGATCCTCGCCACGCCCTGCTCCGTCGCGAGCACGGTCGAGCTCGGAACCGCCACCGTCGCCGTGCCCAGAGAGAGGGGCGCCGCGTCGCCGAGCTCGAATTCGCTGCGGTCGACCACCTCACAAGATCTACCCCGCCTAGCGCCAGATCCGCCGTCATTGTGCGAACAGGAGGCAGCACAGAGGTGCCCCTCGACGGAGCCACGCGCGACCACGTCATGCACGCGCTCCAGCGAGAGGAGCCTCCACGGTTCCCGGGGAGAAGAGCATAGAGAGAGAGGGGCGAGGCGTGGCGCAGTGGAGAGAAGGAGGCGTCGCCGCGGTGATAGAAGGGGAGGGGGCGCGGCGTGGTGGGAGGAGGAGGCTCGCGGGAGAAGTGTTGGAGGCGGCTAGGGTTGGTGGAGGTTGTTTATACAGGAATGTGTGATTCGAGCCGAATCGGGATGAAAATGGGCCTGTCCACCGCTATTGAATAGATGATGTAACTGTGCACGCCGCTATTGTTGCGTCTCCTGTGGCGGTCGATGCTGATGTCATGTTGACCGTCACTGGTGTCTTCTAGACCGTGCTTCAGATGCTTACGTCATATTTGCCCGCCATTATTGATGTTACCAACCCATTGTAGTGACAAAAATCAAGGTGTCCGCCACTACTGTAAAATGGGCAATCGTCACTCGTTTTGTAGTAGTGATATAAACTCTTCATCCAGCTCTTTTCCTATTTTACTTTAACTAAGCCATTCTCAACTATCAAACCATAGCACTTAACGCCAATGGTACCCTGGTGTTGTTTTTTTCAGTGATATATGGTTGTGGTTTTGTGTCTGGACAACATATTTGTCAAAACTATTCATTTATTATTATTTATAGGGAGGCGAAGGGTCACTCCAATTAGACCAACTAGACCATTATATACTTAGTTACCTACTACATTATCGAAATATTTCATACAAAATAGTCAACAGGCTACACAAAGGTTTTTAGATGTGACATTGGTTTCTTTCTTCTGCGAAACAAAGGTCATCACAAAGAACACCAAGGACCAAGGTAATTGGGCAATTGACATAATAGAGACAAAGGTGACGATCGACTTTTGTGTTAATCCCAATTCCCAACCACATATACATGGCACAAATGTTGTCTCTTTCCTAGTGAAGCATGTGTTCGTCGTATTGTACAATCTTGGGAGAGGCATATGGGAAAAAAATGTTAAATGATAAGGCAACAACATGAAGGTCATGAATCAAAATATCACAATAAAATATTATGCATGTTATTGAATACAATATTGAAATGAGTCTTGCTATACATCCGACCGCATTGAATGACCAAAGACCTAATGGCTTAAATCACTTTGGTGATTGACATGGTTCTAATTGTTAGATATATGGTCATAACTTGCAGTCGTACAAAATAAGTCATACATGAAGCATTTTTCTATTTTAGTGGTCACATTACAAACAAATGTGGTATATATAAAATAAAGAAAGAAGTCTATATTACTCCCCTCAAGTATAACCGAAGTCCACATAACCCTTTAAACTATCATTTGGTTCATTTTACCTCTTAAACTATGTCACTTTGTTCAATAATACAATTTGTCTTTTTTGTTTCTCCATGCAGAAATTGAATTTTAAATTTAAAATTTTGCATGGATGCAGTGAATTCGCAATATATGTTAGAAAAATATATCATAAATTTTTGTCGTCATTTTTAATATAATATTGTATCCCAATGATTACTTAATTATTAAATATCTCAGCCCATCAAAATACCGATAAAAACATATTTCATATTTATATAACATGAGTTACAATGTCTAATATCATCTCGCAAAATTTGAACCTAATGCCATACATGTGCATGTAGAAATAAAAAAGACAAATTGTATTAGGGGGTAAATTAAACCAAGTGATATAATTTAGGGGATAAAATGAATAAAAAAATAGGTTTGAGGGTTATATAAACTTTGGTTTTACTTGAGGGGTGTAATTTAGAATTTTTTCAAAAATAAAATATTTTTTTGTGAATACACAGTACAACTCAGACACACACACAATGCATGCACACTCACGTACATACATAAACCCTACTCCTATGAGCATCTTCAGGGGTGTAATTTAGAATTTTTTCAAAAATAAAATATTTTTTTGTGAATACACAGTACAACTTAGACACACACAACGCATGCACACTCACCCCTATGACGGTACATATGCAAACCCTACTCCTATGAGCATCTTCAAAGATTGAGCAAGCAAATCCTGCAGATTGACGAAGCCACCACTGGCGCCTCACTGTCGACGGCCACGTCGCCTACCGCTGAAAGCACAAATGCAATCCTAGAAAATTTGCTCCCACCAGGAGTCGAACCCAGAACCTCAAAGGTGCTAATCTGGTGCCTTAATCACTAAGCTAAGGACCCTTTTACTTCAAAAATAAAATATATTTCTATAAAGAAATAAAACAGATCGAACCAACATTTGATAAGAGTGTGTGTGCGTACGCATGCGTGAGAGAGAGAGAGAGAGAGAGAAGTAAAAAGCAAAGCAGATGGTTGTACAGATAAACTTTGCCCCAGTAGAAAACCTTTCTTTGTGTCTACAGATCTTTGTGGACACCAGGTCGTACATGCTGCAGGAGTTTTTTAGCGGCAAAGGTTAGAGATTAAAGTAGTATAAAGTGTGGTTGTCTGCTCTTTATTGTCTGTCCGGTTCAATTCTTATGCACCGTCGAATCGAGGAACCTAAATGCCTTGTGAGCTAATCCAAATGATCCAAGAGGATTCGAGGTTCAGTTTACCAATGCGATAAGAAAACTGCAATATTAAAAGAAAATATTAAGACCTCTCCCTAACTCTTTTTCCGTTTTAGTTAAACTAAGCCCTTCTCAACTATCAAACAATAGCACTTTACCGTGCGTTTCTGGCTGCCCACAGGGTTATCCCGGTTTCCAGTAGTGCATGATACCTTAACCTTAGTGGTTTTTCTATGACATAAATGTAGTTTTGTATTTGCACGACATATTCATCCAAACTATTCATTTCTTGTTATATACAGACCGTGGGACAAACGGCGTGAAGTGCCCTTCAAGCAAGACCTGCTGGCCTGAAGGGACCGGCTGGCCACCCGATGAGGCAGTTGTGGCCCCCTTGCTACTGGCCAGTTCTGATTGACTCATGATGGAAGTTGTATGGCGCACTATGAGAAACAGACGCTTTGCCGAGTGCAAAGCTCATTTGAGGGAAAAAAAAATACTTAGCCAAGTGTTTTTTATCGTGCACTCGGCAAAATGTTTGTCTAAGGATGATTATGGGCAAAACAAAAAATGACGGACGGCGACTGACGGGAAACTGTGCAAAGTTTTGCCGAGTGTAAAATGTGGACACTCGGCAAAATACTTTTTTCCGGTAGTGGTGGTTCCGTGTGTTTCCTTCGGATGTGGATCGGTAATTGGCCTTTGGAGCCCGTTCTACCCTCTCTTTTACTGTCATATTGTTTGGATGGTGTAAATCGTCCCCCAAGCTCGGTTCAGGTGAGGGAATGTCCTTTGGACCGAGTTTGGGCTTGATGGAAAGAACCGCAGCAAGCAATGTTTGGGGTTGAATGCGCAGTTGATGGCACTTGGGCTTGATTGTGCACCATGAATGGAAGCCACCCCAGACTGCCCAGCCCCAGTGGGGGCAGAGCCAGGCCGGCCGGTGGTCTTCCTTTTTCTTTTCCCGATGCGGAAACTCTATGGGCTAGCTCTTGAAAGCAAATACTCACCTAATACTTGTTTTGAAACATATAATATTTCCTTATTTTTATTAAAAACTAGCAAGATGGTCCGCGCGATTCGCGCGGCTAGATTCGTTGTAGTGTTGTGTTATTATTGAACATTTCTTTGTATGCATTTCCTTCAGATTTTTTTAGTACTTGCCATCCGTTTTCCCCAAGAATATGGCATTCATTTCTTGAACACTCTACCAAATAAATTCGCAAATAACTATTTATTTTTTAAAATATTTTATTATAGTTTACTCGCTGTGGTGGTCACAGTGGCATGTTTGGTTGATGCCGCTGGGGCGGTCGGGCCGATTATCACCACAGCATACCCGCGCTTCCCAAGCTCAGCTTCCCCAACTTTGACAGTGAGTGGTTTCAAAAAAAAAAAAAAAAAAAAAAAAAAAAAAAAAAAAAAAAAAAAAAAAAAAAAAAAAAAAAACTTTGACAGCGAGAGTGACCCGATGACATGGCTGAACAAATGTCGCTCCGCCTGGACGGCATGGCTGAGCAGTGGTAATACGCTCTGGAGCGTAACTTCGAGGTCATTCCGGGCCTCATTTTGTGGACTCGGTAAATCTGCGTTTTGGGCCACCCATTCATGCCAATGCTCTAGCCGAAGAAGGATCTCCATCGTACGGCCAGTGGAATTACCAACGGCAATTCTTGCACTCTTGTGCTGTCGTGTAGACCTGACACTCATCACCCATGCAGCGAGTCAAATCTCTTCACTGCTAGCCCGGGCAAACTTTTGAGGATGGACTCGAACTGCAAGCGCCTACTACAAACCTATAACCGGCAATGAGCCTTGTCGGGGATGGATATTTTACATAAAATATTTATCTATTCCTGAAATAACAATGAGTCTCAGAATAAGTGCCGCCTCGTCCGACCCCGTCAGTCGGACGTCTCCGCCTCGCCCGACCCCCAGCGACCGGGGTCGGGACATGTCCGCCTCCCACGACCAGTATTAGGGTGTGTTTGGTTGGGCTTTTTTTGACTTTGGCTTTCTAAAAAAGCCAAAAGCCCAACCAAACGGGTTGGCTGTCAAAAAAAGTCACAGCCAAAAGCAGCTTTTGTCTAGTTCATTTCTGAAAGCAGGTAGGAAGGTGCTTTTTTGGGCTTTGGCTTTCATAAGTATGAAGAAATTACCTATATACATGTATACATACATACATACATACATACATATGTACACATATACATATGAATATTTATAATATGCATAAAATATTTATAATATTTATATATACATAAAATATTTATAATATTAACATATATATGTGTATGTACATATAGTATTTGTAAAACATACATATACATTTACATATGTAGGTATAAATATTATATAAAAATGTACATATTTATTTATAATATTTATATAGACAAATATTTATAATATATACATATATATGTATATGTACATATAATATTTATAAAACATACATATACATTATGTATGTATATATAAATATTATATACAAATGTGTACATTTATATACATATGAATATGTTATATATGTGTGTATATACATACATATACATGACATGTAGTCAGTTTCCAAAAAGCCACAGCTGTTTCACCAAACGGCTTTTAACTTTCTCACAGCTTAAATCCCACAGCAGCTTTTTTCACAGCTCACAGCCCACAGTAGCTTTTTTGACAGCCACAGCCCAACCAAACACACCCTAAGTGTGTAGGTTGCTGCCTTTTTTCCTCCTGACCGCCTGTGGATAGGTCGAAAAGCCAGGTCTTTGGGGATGTGCCGGGGCAAGTGAGCTTCCGCTCCGCGTCCATTTAATTCACACATCGTCAGTGGCGGAGCTAGAATTTTTACTATGGGTGTTCAAAAACTATAAAATGACACAAAAGCTTGTCCAAAAATTGAGCTGGCCTCAACAAATTGCACTGAACATAGGCGAAAGTATCAAGCAACCTTATCTAAATTCTAAACTGAAGCTCTTGTGGCCTAGCAAATGAAATTTATGACAAACTTCTCTCTTTTCTCTTCACTACCAATGTATATATGTATTGCACCTTAAGAATCATTGTTTATTTGCCTAAATCTATGGGTGTTCAAGTGAACACCCGTGAATAATGCTGGCTCCGCCCCTGCACATCGTGGCAAGTACTACGGACTGTTCCAGCTCCTTGTAGCACCACAAAGACAGTAACACCAGGCGTGCCACTTGCGTGTCTGACCTGCTCCTGACCTCACCTATGGGTCCCCTAGGACCACCTCAAGTCAAGAGAAAAGTACGAAGCCTCTCATGTCTTCTCTTGATTTTTCTCTCTCCTGCATGCATGCGCATATGACAACTCTCTCGCATGCATCCAGCCACTTTCTCCTCCTTTTTCTACTCTCACACATGCATGCATTCTTACACATTTATCCTCCTCATAATTACCCTCATGTATGAGTAGCGTGAGGACCGCACCAGGCACAGAGCTTGACTGCCGTGCACAAGGTCGAACAACCTTTCATCCGACTCCTCGCTCTTCCTGCCCGACTCCTTCGCAGGGGTCGGCAGCCTGCCTCGTCCGACCCCTCAGGCCGGGACTCGCCACTGCCATGACAAGACATTACAAACATGTACAGTTCGACACTATGCGTGCAGTACACAACACTGTGTCAATCGCTCCTCTTTTCATATGTAGCTGCCGTCACCGACAAGGACTAGGAAAGCGGGGCCTGCGACATTGACCGAAGCTTCTCCTGGACTCTCTCGATTCTCTCTGATGTAATTTCTTTTTATCTCTTCTTTTACCACACTTGTAAATCTGCTCCCCTTGGCATATAAAAGGGAGGGCACGCTCCTCGCGGAGGGGGAGAGAGACTCGGTTCACACGAGACTCAATTCGTACACACTCACTTCGGTCTTGCGGAGCACGCAAGGACGAACACCACGAACACACAGAGACTTGGGAGTCGCCAAGCTTGTAAACCCTACTATGAGCAACACGAACCACGAATAACTCACTGGACATAGGGCCTCGATCGACCAAACCAGTCTAATCCCTTATGGCATCCACATCTCCTCAATCAACCAAGCGCACAGTCTAAATTTACTAGTCGGCTAGATTTCCCAATGCCGACAAGCCTCACCCGCGCCCACTAACAACACCTCGCCGATGACGTGGACAATACCAAGTCTTCCGCACCACACTGATGTGGCCGCGCGTTAAGCGGTCCTGCACGGAGCCACAACATCTACGGTGCTGTCACCCACTGTGAACAAAGCAGATCTCCGGTGCAGGGAACAACTTTCCGTGCGCTCTCGTTTCTGCAGGCTCTCGGCAGAGGACATTGCGGCCAAGCGTGCACGGGGAGAATGCTACTACTGAACCGAACAATACACCGGCGACCACAAGTGCAACTCCAAAAGTTCCTGCTAGAGTTACAGGAGGATGACTACCCCAAACAGTACACCGGCAAGTGCATTGGCGGGCATTGATGCCGTCGGAGGCGCCACTCTCATGTGTTGTTTCATAATCTGATAGGATAGAGTACATACACACGTAAATGGTGGACTAAAAAAATCTCGTTCGGTTGTATTTGATTCGGACTCATCACTTGGTGAATTCCTAAGAGAATCAAACTTCTGATTTTTAATTATTTTATTATTTATTCCGAATTATGGTATTCAAAGGTTTATTTGA